TCTCTTTTAATATTTTACAAGATCTAACTTGGGTGTGACCAAAGGAAAGTTTCTGAGGCTCAAGGATTGACATTCTTACTGTATAGCCTTGTTTTGTTTATGTTAATGTGTAATTCATGAAGATATTTGCCAACTAGATTGCATTTTTTTATTATACTTGCAATAAGTATTGATAGTGCCGAACTAGCATATTTTAGGCCTTAGGTTATAGACATGATGATTGAAATATTCATATAGGGCTACAATACTAGTACAAGTAAAATATGTATGATTTGATTCATTGTAAAACACATTAATGGCTTTTTATGTTAATTATCTGTCCCTTATGTTTTTTGAGAAGTCGAGGGTTTGAGAGGTGAATTTAAGAAATATATGTTTTATGCTTGTGGTGCTGTGTTGTATAGGTAGCCTTGAATCCATTGAACATGGTCTAAGTGTATTTATAGGCTGTTGGCACTTGTTGGAAATTTAGACACTCAAGTTGGAGTTTTAAGTGTGGAATATGTAGTTTTGCAAATGGGTGTTTGACTTTTATTGAGTAATAATTTAGGACTGAGATTAACGCAATTAGCTAGTGTATGAAAAAAAGGAGACACATAGATCATATGTCGTATGGAGAATTGGGGAAAGCTAGAAGTTAGCCATGCTGCAGAATATGTGCAACACATGGCAACAACGAGGACAAGCCACAGCGCAAGGATGCCACGTTACAGTACGTCTCTCATTTTCTAGATTTATTGGTTTTTTAATTGTTTTAATTATTTTGAAACCATAGATTGTGTACTATGCTTCCGTGACTCTTTTAATGACAAAATAGCATTCACTGAGCTTTGCTTTTATTGTTTCCATTTTAAAAACTTAGGATCCCAATTATAAAAACTAAGATTAGTAAGGTTGGCCTTACATCATCTAGGTTTTCTTCTTTAGTTTTGATTTCTTGCAAGTTATGAAAGGTTGATTGTTGTTTTGATAATAGAATGATGGTTGGAGATTGTTGTTTTGATTTCTACATACTAAGGTGTCTATGATAATGGAAGGTTGCTACTTGGAGATTGTTGTTTTCATTTCTTTATCCAACTTCAATGGCCAAGCTTCGATTAAACAACTTCAATGGCCAAGCTTCGATTAACGGAGAGTAGCAAATTTTTTTAGGATAGGGGCATTTAGTCATTTTATAAGTTAAAGGATAGGGCATTTTAGTCATTCTATAAGTTAAGTACCAAATTAAATAAAAATAATCTCTCAATTTCATAAATATGTTAATCATATTTTTAAAACCAATATCCATATCTATTTCTAGCTTCATATACATTTTTATTTCTATCAAAATCATTTTCTACATACCAAACGAGGCATTATAATTTTTGGTAGCATTACTTTTAATTAAAACATTATTTATTAAAAAACATATATTAATTAGGATTTTAAAGATTAAGTTATCGTAAAGTGAGTTGGGTTATAGTTTGAATATTTTCAACCTATCAATGTCAAGATGTTATCTATCTCATTAATGATCCTAAATCATGATATGGTTTGAGTGTGATGTCTAATGGAGTGGAGATACAATTTCTAACATCATGACGTGCTTTTTTTTTTGGTTGGACAAGTTAATCATTTTTTTAGTATCAAAAGGATAAATACTAATAACTTGAGATTATAAGTGAGATTGGATCCACAATGTCTCACTCAACAATCCTAATTTTTTTCCTACACCATGACATGCATTAATAGTATATATTGTTCTTAATTTTTACAATTGCAATATGCTACGGCAATATATTTTAGGAAAATATTAATGAAGAACTTTTAAAATGATTTAATATCATATAAGGATTTGTAATAAGTAAACGTTAACAATTTATAAGTTAAGTTAAGTTTAAGTTTTGAAAAGTATTCAATCCATCTAAGTCCTTATCTGACATTAAATCATTTTTATAGTCCTTCATCAATATTCTCCCTGCATTTTATTTTTAACGTCCGATTTGTTGGTTGGGAAAAGTTTCAAGACTTCTAAATCTTAAGCCATACATAAAGGACTTGAAGTGGGTTGAGTGAGAATTTTCACTTTGTTCATGTTCAACGTCGCGGTGCGGAAGAGATTTAGCTAATCATATACTTTCTTTTTTTTATACATTATATTTAGAAACCGATTTTTCTTTGTAAATTTAAGCATATTTCTGTCACCTTTGTGTAAAGGGAGAATAATGTTTTAGTCAATGGTTTAGCTATGAAAATTCATGATCTTGTCACCGAGTTTTGAATAATGAAAATGAAAAATACTAACCAGTAGTTCCTTATTATGCTTTTTCCTGTAATGGTTGTTTTTTTTAAGCGAATAAAAGTATTTTAGTTTGCATTTGAAATTTTTCATGCTGGCCTGAAAAAAGCTTTTTTTTTTTAAGAATAAATCAATTTGAGTATAAACCTGGGTGGCTTAGTCCTATGCCATGCAAAAAAACAAAACGCTTGGCTTCTCTTTATTTCTCACTCTTTCCACTTCCTCTCCACTTTCCACCTTAATCATTTAATTCATTTTTGAATGATTAAAATTTAATATTTCATAAAGTTATTATTAAAATGTGAAAACTTATGAAAAATAAATAAATAACTAAATTTTATGAAACGTTAATACCAACCATTCAAAAATAAATCAAATGGTGGAGATAAGGAGTGAAGAGGAAATAAAGAGAAATCATATCTAAAAACAAAACTTGGATTCTAGAGATATTTTTGCATCAGATCCTTAATATAAAAAACATCATTTAGATTCAGAAAAAAAGTTTTTTAGATCGACATGAATTGTTCCGGCTTCAAACAGAGAAAGCATATTGCACATTGCAATTAACAGGTTTGTTAACCCAAAAAAATGAAGAAAATAAACACTATTCAGTAAAACATTCCATTCCATCGTGCTACGTCTTAAAAGGAATAAGATATTTCTAGCATTAATTATAATTATTCACGCTATAGTAGTAGAATATTGAATGAATCCGTTATTAAAAAAGAATCCATGAGTGAGAAATGAATATTAAAATTTATTCGTATATATGACACTGATACATTTTTATAATTGATAATCTGTCTATAATTTAGTTTATTTAGATTTATATATCAAAATCTGTTCTTTTTTTTAACCAAGAACACTTGTATTCCCATAATTAAGGTGCATGTTTGGATTTGCATTCAAAATTAATTAATTGTACAGAAATCACGTTTTGGCAAAAATTATCCAAACACTCATAGTACATGTTAAAATCAATTATAAATTTAAAATTATATTTTAAAATATCCAAACACCCATTATATAAGTAAAATAATTATGAATTTAAAATTATGGTTTTCTTAAAAATATCTAAACACATCTTATTATGTCAAAATCAACTATGAACCAAAAGATTTGCAAAATAATTTATATAATTTTTAGATAAATTTTTAGAAATGTATAATTGAAAAATTGGTAGTAGTAGCTTGTGAGATAACTGTAGTTTTGCATTCATAATTAATTTTAGCATGTATGTGGGTGTTTGAATATTTTTAAAAATATTATGGTTTTAAGTTTATAATTGATTTTGGCATGTATAACGGGTGTTTAGATATTTTTTTAAAAAAACATGATCTTGGATTCATAATTGTTTTGAGGTTAAAATGCATAAAACTATTTTAAATTTTGAGACAGCTACATATAACTTTCATCACTTTTAAAAGTTTAAAATTAACTCCCTAACCTTTAATTTTATTTTTTAAAACTCCCTCTTGTTAATTATATTATTTTTTCATGAGGTTTAAAATATCATTCAACTAAAAAAGGTTATTAAACAAAAACATTATATTGTATAACTATTTATAATAAATTTCTTATATTTTTTAATAGTTGAGGCATTGATAAAAAAATATTATCACTGTATAAAATTTTAAATATTTATGTTTATGTTAGCTTTATACATGTTTTTTTGGTTAATTTTATTGTTTTAAAAGATAAATTTTTATTTATATTTTGATGTTAGATTAATGTAATGCACATGGCTAAAATATTCAAAATTTTAAATATTACCATGTTAGATTAATTTATCTTTTGATACTAAATAACTATGCACCATTGATAATAAAAAAATAAATAAAACTGACACAAAAGTAAATATTTACAATTTTATATGGTGATAATAATATTTGTTTTGGCCATTATTAATGTCTCAACTATTCAAAAAATATAAAAAATTAATTAGTCATAGTTTTACAATATAATATCTTGTTTAATAATATTTTTTAATTGAATGACATTTTAGCTGTTATAAAAAAATAGCATAATTAATATAATAATAGGGAGTTTTGAAAAATAAAATTAAAGATTAGAGAGGTTAATTTTAAACTTTTAAAAATAAGAAATGTTATATATAATTGTCTTAAAGTTTAGAGGTTTTGTGCATTTTCGTCTTGTTTTTATCATGTAACGTAAGTGTTTAGATATATTTTATAAAATCAAGGTTTTATCTTATTTTTATTTTTTTAATTTTAATTAAAATGAATCTTATTAATTAATTTTATAAATTAATTATATATCATATAATTATATCAATTATATTCAACTGAAATTCAACACTAAAAACGTGTGAGTAAATGTTGGAATAGTGTCTTGATTTTAAAACCGATTATATATATATAAAGAGAGAGGGGGACTTCTCACCTGCTGAGTTGCCTAAAACATGAAGAGACTCAATACCCCCAAAAAAAAAAAAAAACAACTAAAATATGAAGGGAACGGGGAAAAATATGAACTGAGAAATGATAGTTGATACATCCGAAGTATAGAGCGTGTGAAGCACTAACAAATAAGAAAGCGGCGTACGTGTCACGAGGGAACGAAGGAAGTTTCGCCAGAGTTTTACTCTCACATTCTTGTTACATCCATCAGGAAGAAAAGCAAACGACAATATATTTGCATGTTGCACCGTATGCCAAAGAGCCAAAACCGAAGGCCAAAGCGGAGACCAGAGAGCACTCACTGGGAGAGATCCTCTCTCTCTCTCTCTCTCTCTCTCTCTCTCTCTCTGTGCGCCCCTCTCCCAATTCCACACCCTTTGCGCCAATCAACGACCCCACAATCAAATTTCCCTCCCTCCCTCCCTTAAACCCATCCTCCTTGCCATGCCAACTTCCCCTTCGGGTATCTCTCACACAAACCTAAATTCTTTCCCCCTCTCTAAATCCTCGCTTCTTGTCTTTTCGTCTACGATATGAAAGCTATCTGTTTGATTTTTGGCTGTATTTTGATCTGATTTTGAATATTTTGTTTTCAATTTCGTTCTCATGCCGGGTATTTTGTGATTTTTAAACCAGAAAACCGAACCAAATGGCGGAAGCGCAAGAGAGAACCCCAAATCAGCCGCCGGCAACCGAAGCATGAGGACGAGGACGACGAAGAAGAAGACCCAAATGGCGACGACGACCACCTCGAGCGACAGGATGACTCCGAGGACCAGACCCAACACCCTAACCCCCAATCTGGTTCTAATTCTCAAGCGCAGCTCGAGATCGAGGTCTTGTCTGACGATGGAGTCCAAATTTCCCAGTTCCCTCGAGTGATCAAGCGCACTGTCAATCGCCCTCACGCATCCGTTACTGCAATTGTCGCCCTGGAGCGTGCCAATGAGTCTGGAGACAACAAGGGTCAGCTGCAGAATTCTCCATTTCTGGAGAATTTGTCTTACGGGCAGCTTCAGACGCTTTCCACCGTGCCCGCTGATAGTTCAGCTCTGGATCAGGACCGTAACGAGGGAAGTAATTCGGCTTATGTGATCACCCCGCCCCCCCTACTGGAAGGCCGTGGCATTGTCAAGCGGTTTGGGAGTAGGGTTCTGGTAGTTCCAATGCATTCAGGTCCTCGCTCCCTCTATTAATTTGCTTTACTTGCAACTGGTTTACTTTATCAGTACGCTATCTATCTGAGCTACGCAGTACACCCGGCTATAACTACTATTCAAGTAATTTATCCCGCCAGTGCTGTCACCCAGCCCGTAGTTTCATGTTTTTCTTTGGTGATTTGTTCTCTGTTTTCTTGTACTGGTAATCCTCTCTTTTCTAGAAACTATGAGCACTGACACGACACCGAAACACAACAAAATTTGAAGCATGCACGTGTAATTTATAGTATATACATGGGGCAATTTTTCGTAGTTTCTTTTGTTTGTAAATCAGAGCATAAAGGGGGCTGACCTTTATACTATATAGAATGTGATAAATAAGACTCCGTGAAAGTCTGTCTCTTTCTTCCCGCTTTCAGTATGATACAAGACCTGTGATATAGAAAAATAAAAATCACGTGTGACGTTTTAATGTGCAGGCTATTTATTTATTTATTTTATGTTGGTTAAACGGGATAGCATCTCCCTATTGAGATAGTTTAGATTATTGAGAAGGTCATTTCACTCTTTAATATAACCTTACAAGATTTGATGAACCCAATAATGCTTTGGCTTTTCATTTATGATTTTCAGGTTGGTGGGGTGGAGTAGTTTGAGATTCTAACGTACAATTTCCAGTTAAACACATTAACCTAGTTTTAATTGGGTTTTATCATGAACAGAATGGTTTTCACCAGCTACAGTGCATCGGCTTGAGAGACAAGTCGTGCCACGGTTCTTCTCTGGAAAATCACCAGATCATACCCCAGAGAAGTACATGGAATGTAGAAATTATATAGTTGCACGATACATGGAAGACCTGGGGAAGAGGATTACAATTTTTGATTGCCATGGATTGTTAGTTGGGGTTGATAATGAAGATTTAACTCGGATTTTCCGGTTTCTTGATCATTGGGGAATCATCAACTACTGTGCTCTTGTGCCAAGTCATGAGCCTTGGAATGACAAGTCATACCTAAAGGATGAGGCAAGTGGTGAGATTCGTGTGCCATCAGATGCCTTAAAATCTATTGATGGTTTGATCAAATTTGACAAGCCGAAGTGTAAACTCAAAGCAGAAGAAATTTATTTATCATTGACAACTCAGAATGCTGATATTTCTGATTTGGAGGACAGAATAAGGGAGCATCTGTCTGAAAATCACTGCAATTATTGTTCTCGTCCGCTTCCTGCTGTTTACTATCAGTCACAAAAAGAGGTACACTGGCTTACAATTTTGATTTTGTCAGCTTGTCATGAGTAATGGGAGGGTATCTATCTAGAAAAGATTACAACTATTATTTTATTTTTGGGGAGTTGTAATCTTGGAAAAATATTTTCTTGCTGGTCTTTTCCGAAGCTTATGCGTTAAAGTTCAGACAAACATTATCGATGTGATTAATGCTTGATTGTAAATTTGAAGATTTGAAGGCATTAAAGAAGAAATATCTTAGTTTTCTTTTCATTTTCTTCTTTTTTTCCTTTTCAAATCCTCTTCTGTTAAAATCTGTATTTAAGGAGCTTACTAGGAGTTGAGAAAAAAACAGATGTGTAAATTAATCAAGTCAAAAAACTGAAGACATCTTTGCCTTTATTCCAAGAAGTATGGTAAGATACCCTTCTCTACTCAAAATTATGGTGCCAGCCTGCGTCATGCTACTTGCTTAAGTTCTCTCTTGAATGCTCACTTCTTTTCAACTAAAATCAAGCAACTTGGAATCTTATTGCACACATTTTGGAAGTTTCTTCCTCCCAATTCCAATGTGTAATTATAGTTCTTTTGTTATCCGTCTCTTAAGAACTTGCTCTGTTGCTTATATACTTTAATATCAATGGTGCTCTCTGGTGGCATGATATCGACATGCAACTGACATCAATGGCGCTCTCTGATGGCATGATATCAACATGCAACTGAAACCCTTGTATTTTGTTAGTGTTGTTCTTCGGTCACGAAAATAGATTCTTATACAAACCCAAGTGGACCATCTGTCTGTAACCAAAATAAACTCTACAACTGATAAATAGTTCCTGACGTGCAAGGGAGTGATGGGGTTTGATTGTTTTACAGACTTGTTGAGATTCTTCCTGCAAACACATTGCATTATTTCTCTTAGACTGGACAATGAGGCCTGTAAATAAAGTAGACTGAAAAATGCCTTAAAACACCTTTGTCTTGCTATGTAATTAACTTCTCATATTACAGGCTGATGTTCTTCTCTGCACTGATTGTTTCCATGATGGGGGATTTGTCGTTGGTCACTCAAGTATAGATTTTATTAGGGTTGATTCAACAAGAGATTATAGTGATCTAGATGGGGATAGTTGGACTGATCAAGAAACCTTGCTGCTGCTTGAGGCGATGGAGATTTACCATGAGAATTGGAATGAAATTGCTGAGCATGTGGGTACCAAATCAAAAGCACAATGTATTCTCCATTTTCTCCGTCTACCCATGGAAGATGGAAAATTGGAAAATATCAATGTTCCAAGGATGTCTTTGTCATCAAATATGTCAAATACAGATGATTGTGGAAGATTGCGTTCAAATTTAGGTGCGGAATTAGCAGGTCTTGCTCAATTTTACTTTTTAACCTTCTACTTGCTATCACGTGGTCTTGATCTTGTATCCACGATCCTGCAGGACCAACTCAGAGCATTGATCCTAACAGCAGGCTCCCTTTTTCAAATTCTGAAAATCCTGTTATGGCTCTGGTAGGTGACTGATAATTAATAATTATATGCATAACTTTTATCGTTTGGAAGAATTCACTTGAAACATGCATATAGCTATAGAGCTAGGATGTATTTATTGGTTACAGTAAATGCATAAGAGAGTGAACTCTTGTCCTCCACTTATATCAGCTTGTATTGTTGAGCAACTTTTTGAAAACCATACTTGTTTTTTTTTTTATTAAAAGGTGGTTGTACATTTTGGAATAGTGCTTGACAAGCATGCTAGTAAAAATCACGGAATAGGATATGCCTATTGGATAGAAACTTCATATAGAGTCCTAGATGGGTATAAGAATTTCACAACAAGTAGACAGTCACTTAGATTCTGGAGGATTCTTATGCACCTGGTTTGGATGGAATTCACTGTACAGGTTGCCTTTTTGGCCTCTGCTATCGGACCAAGAGTAGCTGCTGCTTGTGCACATGCAGCATTGGCAGAATTGTCAGGGAATAATTCTGGTAGTGCGCCACAGGCAGAAGCACCAGGGCATAGCAACAGGTGAGTTTAATTGTTAGAGACTGGTAATAGTTACTATAGCCCAAGCCACCCTTCTTCACTGTTCATAGAAAAGAGGTTTATCTAATGTAGGTTCTTAGTTTTAATCATGGTAACTGCCAAGGACCATTTCTTCCTTAGGATAAGGCCCATGAACGATGCTATTTATATCTCCAATATATAACCCCCTCTTTGACCTTGAAGCATGCATAAAGCATAGACCCACTATACAATGTTGTAATTGATGTTTTTTATGCTGTGATTCAATATTAAGTTGTTATGTCATGGTTTTAGAACTGCTGTAGAGAGGGGCCATATAGGCTATAGTTAAGTTATACGATCTATCGCTTTGTCTATGACTTTTGTACACAAAATTGAGATTTATTTCTACTCATGAAGGATGAACTTGGAAAGCAAACTTAGTAAAGATGGTGGTCCTCTTGGAGAAATTGCAAATCCAAATCAGCAGGATGGTAAGGGATGGTGGTTTCCGTTATCTTTAACTTATGTATCAATGCGATCCAACCTTTAATGGGACACATTCTTCAGTACACTCAAAAAATTTCATATTATTCCAGAGGATGAGGCAAAAGCGCTTGGTTCACAGGGTCCGAATGAGGGTGAGGCCATCCCTCTATCTTCTGAGAAAGTTAAAGATGCTGCTAAGGCAGGCTTGTCTGCTGCAGCAATGAAAGCTAAACTGTTTGCAGATCATGAAGAAAGAGAAATTCAGAGGCTATGTGCTAATATTATAAACCATCAGGTATAGTTGCTGCTTTCTCGGTCTTTTAAACTTATTTGAGTTATATTCCTTCTTCCGTCTGTTCACTTTCTATCTAAACGCACATGCATGCACAAAGACGGGTCAAAGATAACTGCATTATATCAATGAAACATTTGGAGGAAACTTAAAAGTCAGGCTTATAAAGCTACAATTGTATGAAGCTAATTGTGTTGATGGGTTGCCTAATTTTGACAGCTGAAAAGATTGGAGCTGAAGCTCAAGCAGTTCGCTGAAATTGAAACGCTGTTGATGAAAGAATGTGACCAAATGGAGAAGGCAAGACAAAGATTTGCTGCTGAACGTTCCCGTCTTGTATCCGCATGGCTTGGATCTGGTGTAGCCACAAACACATCAGGTGTGGGTCCTTCGACGGTTAGTAATAATAATGGCAACAGTAGACAACAAATGGCCTTTGGATCTCCTTCGCAGCCCAGTGTCTCAGCGTACACAAGTGGCCAAGCAGTTCATCCACATATGTCCTTTGTCCCACGGCCTTCCGTGTTTGGTGGGCTAGGGCAAAGGTTACCGCTTTCTATGATACAACAATCACAATCAACTTCTCCCAATCCCATGTTTAAAGCCCCTGGTAATGTGCAGCCTTCTACCAATCATCCTTTGTTGAGGCCTGTATCAGGTACTAACTCTGGTTTAGGTTAATTAGGGAATTAGATGTAAGTCTCGGTGCTTCTATGGTGTAGATTTATTTTGTCATTGCTTTGAGCATTGAAGAGGAAATTAGGTGATGAATCAAGCTGAGTTATTGTTTCTAGTTTTTGGGGCCTCTGATAGGTTGCAGTTGATTATGCAACTATTGCTCAAGGGAAATAAGCGGCTTTTGATATTCCCTAAGTTCTAGTTTTCCCCGTTGAGGTTCTGCATTTTTAGGATGAGAATTTAAATCCTGTTTAGCTAGCTTACACAACGACAGTTAGCAGGTCGGATTGGAAGAATCATGATCAAGCCATTGTGACTAATTGTATCAATTGCCTTGATGTTGTACGATCTATATTACATTGTTTCGCTATCTTCACTCGTCTGTTCTCTGGTTGATGACATGAGCACAAGGCGGATTGCGTTCGGTTATTCCAGCCTATGCCCGTCATTTGACTTCAAAATTCGGAACTTGAGGGATATGAGGTGAGGCAATTCATTGAATGCGGCATGTCAAAGAGCCTTATTAACGTTCTGTTTTGTTTCTGTTTTGAAAAACCAGTTTTTTTGTTTTTTAAAACAAGAAAATTAGAAAACTTGTTTGGATGAATGTTTTAAATTTAGTTGTTTGCAAAATTGTTTTCATTTTTTGTTTTTAAAAATAAAAGAACATTTAAAACTGTTTTTATTTTCTTATTTTTAAAATAGCTTACATTTAATTATTGAACACTATAGTTATCTTGATCAATAATTATCATAAATTGCTTATGACCATCATTATTGACCTACTTTCTTAGTTCTAAAATTGTTTTTAAATTAATACAATTAAATAAATTTTTTGTTTTGTTTTGAAAAATAATTTAAAAATTATATTGCAAAACAGTTTTTAAAAACGTTAAAAAAAAATAGAGAGAGAGAGAGTCGAAGTCAGACAGGTCTTGAGGTTATTTTGTTGACTTCAGAGTGTTTGATTTCTGAGTCATCTCTACAATCCACTTTCGATTCATCGGTTGTCAAGGCCATCGAATGATAGCTACTCCTTAATTTTGTGAGCCAAGTAACGTGTGAATTTTAAACAATATTAGGTGCAAGATGAAGCTGTTGCCCCTTGAACGACGTAGCTAGAAGACGAGAACCAATCAGGTGGATAGCTACCTCTTAATATTGGATAACAGTGCAAGTTTAGCCTTAAATTATTTTTTGAAAAGTGTTTGGTATTTTCTATTATGAAATAGTACAAATAATTATGAACAAAAAAAATAGAGTATCAAGCACTTATAGTTTTGAATAAACGGACGTTTATTTTTAACAGTGGGGTCCTCTTCATCTTCCTTTGTCTCTCTCCCGTTGAGCCTCTAGAGAAGAACACCACCTAACCCTCTTAACTTCTCCCTGTTACTAACACTGACAACAATGACGAGGACCACTACAACGATGGTGATGACTCCATTGAGGGCAGCATTGAATGGTGTGACTTTGGGGAGGACGGCTCTAAATGGGGAAGATTCTGACGAGAATGATGCAGAACAAGGACAACTTTCTCTACTCTTCCTCCATGAGACGATGACCCACCTCCTTTCTTTTTCTTAATGGCTCCCATCGGCAATGGCAGCAGTGCTCGGCAGCAAGGGTTGAAGCCGACAATGATATTTTTGTCTTCAATTGCAGTTATTGCATCTGACTTTTGGGTCTTCGATTTCTGTTGGTTTGATTTCTATCTTCAATTTTGGTTTGAACTGCATGCAACAACACTTTTAAGAAAAAGCCATAGCAACTTTTGGATAGAAGTGATTATTGTATGAACAAATCAGAAAACCAGGTGCGATTGAACAAAAGTCTATAGTGTTGAGTCTATTTCTCCGTCCCTAGTCTTGTCCTCTTCAATTTGACTACTGTTGATGATCTTGTTTTTAGCTAAAAGTCAAAGCAATCAGAGTAAGGAGACTGGTTCTTTGTTTGGCAACAAGTCTTTTCTTGTTTTGTCTTTGGTTAATGGTTTCAACCTAGTTTGATCTTATTGGTTTTCTAGTTTTGATTGTTGATTCAACCTCTCGTAGCCTTCTTGTTTTGAAGGTTGTTGTTGGTTCTTCAATTTTAGAGAGAGGAAGAAGGGGGGGAGAGAAAGTGGGATCAAATGAAGAGGAGACATGTAAGGTCAAACAAACGTCTGTTTGTTCAAAACTAATGGTAGGTACTTGATGTTTTGTTTTTTGTAATTCATAATTTATTTTGCATTATTTTTTAGTATAGGCTACTAGATGCTATCGAAAATAATTCAATGCCAAATTTATACTTTTACCCGTTAATATTATACCAAACATGATTGTTTGGTAGACAGGTAGGAAAGGAAGACAGACCTGTGGAGTCAAGTAGCCATCATGAACATCGATAGATTAGATATGATCGCTGCTTCACGAACGCTTCCCATTTCTCTCTCTCACACGAATCACGGTCTAAGTATTGCGCGCACGTGTGGATACAATGAATAATGAGCAAAATAGCACGACAGTGGGGTGTTTATATCCGATAGCTCAAGACTTAGACAGGGCTAGACACTGGCAAATCAATCATGTGCAGCAGCAGAGATGAGCGTGTCCATTTTTCTAAATCACTTCACCTTCATGATGCTACCTCCCACGTTCGAAGCAAGTTATTTCCAACGCCTTTCAAGTTTTTCCTTTTGGCTTGTGACTCAGATGTAATGATTCTTTCCCATCTTTTCGCAAAGCGACTACTATTAGAAACTTGAGCAACAAACAGCACATAAATGAACACGTATTCTCTTTTTCTGGGTTGGATCAGGTTTCCCAAGCCTGCAGCTCTATCACGCTGTCTCTTGTCCCAACATCTTTCGTGGCTATTCTCGATTCTTTTCAAACAATATTTTCTGTATCTTTGAATGTTTCAAACAATGCTTTCTTTAACGTAGAAAATGTTGGGAACACCAGGACTGCTTTTTCTTCTTAATCAAAAGAGAGTATATATATTCTAATAAACAGGGATCATGATGTGAAGTAGTCATGATTCATAAGAATATACTTTCCCTTGGCTAAGAACAGAAAAATTAATCGTTTCTCCAAATCTTCTATGCTAAAAAAGTGCAATTTTTTTAACGTGCCCTGCATCAATACACAGAATACCAAACAGTAGGTTAGCCATCGCCGTCTACCTAAATTGCTATACTGACATATACGTCCACTCTAACCTAATATTCTGCACCTTGAAAGATTGTGTATAAATGGTGTTTAGTGGAGTATCCTTTTCATTAAAGGGGGGCTGTCATGACCTAAAACAAGGATAAACGAAGAAAAACAACTGAATTCAATTCAATTATAGATAATTCGAGAAGCGCACAACTTTGCATTACGTATGGTGTTCGTGGCAGCCTATCATTGCGTGAGTACGAGGAATCTGAAGATGTTTGAGTCCTCTGATTCCTTCTGCTATAATCACATGTGAATTGTACGAGACCAAGTAACTCGTAAGGTTGGTTAGTAACAGTGACATTAAAAGCATGTATCAATGACAGCTGGTGGGTCCAAATCTGCCCGTGATGTGAGGGCATGGTTCCCTTCTCTCTCTTTCCTTCCTCTGCATTCTTGTTTTTTTTTTTTAGCCATTAGTTCGAGGTTTAAATGATTTAAATTTAATATCATATAAAATTATTATTAAAATATTAAATTATAAAAAATATAAATAACAAAATTTAAACTCCTAAAATTTAATAAAAATAATAAAAAATACAGTAAAAATAAAATAAAATGAAATGTTTTGAAGAAGATCAAATTTGAATTGTTTAAAATTTTAATTTAATGGCCAAAAATTAAGAGGGGAAGAAGATGGGAAGGAAGAGGAGAGAATCCTCTTCTGTAATGTGAAGTGTGACTTCTTTTATGTCCTCTGTTCTATTCAAATTGGAAATTCATGTTCAATGGATTCATTGCCTAAAACAGTAAATCAGAAGGAAACATAAGACAAATCATTGTATTCATCGTATACAACATGCCAAAAATAATTTTGACTCTTCTCTTTAATTATTTGGATTGGACATCCCTAATCACATAAGCATTAACAAAGTGAAAGCTGCATCTAACTATGATGACACTGACACATACAATCCTACAACTTTTTGGAAAGCAATGCATTCTTGCTTCTTTGAAAATCCCTTAAGCGGGAAGTTGGATATCCCTTAAATCTTGTCTAAAAGGAACTCGACCCAATTCCAATTGGTCATTAGCATTAACGAGACCCTTTTCCATCTGGGTCGGCACTACACTGTCGTTTCGAGTCTCTATGAAGGTCTTGACGGTGTCTTTTCTAAAGGTGAGGTAGATGACGGCAACAACATAAATGGCCATAAGAGGAAATACTAAAATCCCTATGAATACATTTGCCACCTTCGGGAGACTGCTGTGAATCAACCAACCCACAAAGCCTGTGCTGAGGTAGTATACGTTGACCCCAATGATTCCCGAGCCTAGGATCCATGAAATCACAATGATCTGCGATCGAATTTATGGCATATCATTTATCAATAAAATATTTACAGCCTAACTTTAGACACGACGAGAACTCACAATTCTAGAATTCTTGTGAGGTCCCATCTTGGTACTGCTGCTGCTAAACTTGAGCAGTGGAATCAATGCAAATGGAAGCTCAAACGAAAGTATCATCTGCAGAACCGTTTTGTGATTATGGTCAGTAAGTGCGCTTTGGGTTTATTTCATAAAATGAAAGTGCAGAAAACAAAAGGGGAAGCAAAGAATCGACCGAGGAAATGATAATAAGGCGGCTTGCACCCGAAGATCCGCCTATGACGGCAACAACAAGACTCGGTACTATGGCAACACTCCTAGTCATCAAATTCCTTATCCATTTCTTCATCCTCAAATCCAAGAATCCCTACAAAGCCCAGCATCAAAAAAGTAGTATATTTTATTTAATTGATTTGCTCTGCAAAACTCTTTCATTAGAGTTCAAGTGTTTGCTTCAGATATACCTGCATGATATACTGCCCTGCATAGGTGCCAGTGATGGTAGAGCTTTGTCCAGAGGCCAGAAGTGCTATGGCATAAACTGTTGAGCTGGACCTTCCCAAAACATTCTGTAAACCATTAAACAACATGGAAATGAGGATTGAATCACATGTTATTGCAGCCCATGGTGTACGTTAAATAGAGCAAGGACCTTGAGAAGGAAAGAAGCAGAATCAAGGGAGAGATCGTTGCATCTTTCTGCATCTTGAGCTGAAAGATTATTTCCTGAGCATACGGCGCCAGATACTGAAACTACTGCTACGTTTATTAGAAATGCTACAAACAGAGCGAACCCACTTTCTATTAGAAAGTATCTGCACGCATTCTGCATAGTTCAGTACAAAGCATGGGATAACAACGACAATCAGCACCAAGCTTTAGTCAAGTGTTGTTAGTTATGCAGAAACATCTGTGTGAAGAGTGCATGTAAGTTTAAAGTGTTATCTCAGAGAAAAATTATCAGGCAAATAAATGGTTTGTTGGCTTACATTGATGCCACGGACGGAGCCGGGTACTTTTCTGGAGAGCACAAGCGCAGAATGGAGAAAGAGGTTGTGCCTGCAATTTGTTGAAAAGACTATACTTGTGATAGAGAATTTTCAAGTCCTAAAATAAAATTGAAGGAGAAGAAGGAAGAGTACGGCATGATGAGTGCTCCGAAAAGGGCAATGGCGTCAGCGGTGGCTCCATCGCCATTAAGTCTAGGGACAAACATTCCTTTCAATACATCAGAAGCTGGTGGTTTTACATAGCTCATTTCCGCAAAGAAGCATCCTGCCATTGTGAATACTAGCGTTGATATCAGCAATTCCAGCTTCCTGACCTGCTCATCCACAGATACAAGCATCTATCATTTTTTAATGCTCTCTTCGCAGAATGTGATCTCGTGCAATGGCCCTATTTTCCATTTCCAAGTTACTAAAAGTGAAATGAAATACCCCAAATCTCTGGAGACCGAGAAGCAAGAGAGTAGAGAAGCCAGTCAAGAGAACTCCTGCCCATAGTGGGACGTGGAACAGTATGTTGAGCGCAAAGGCTGTGCCAATAACTGTGCACAAGTTTCAATAGCAAAAAGAATCAGCATAAACAACGATGTCTGGGTTAGAGTAATGAGAAAAGAGTCATAAAATGAGTCTTGGTTACACGCATTGAAAGAGAACAGAGCTGGGAAAATCAAGTGTTAGAAATACCTTCGGCTATATCTGCAGCTATGACGGCGACCTCAGCCAGCAACCAGAGGCAGTACTTCACTAGTGGTGGGTACTCCACTTTACATAATTCTGAAAGGTGTTTCCCTGCCGATTCATTCGAGAGAACAGAACAATCATTTTCATGCAGAAGTGGATGATCATTTCATGTGATCACATAGAAAATAAAATCTTATTCTTGTGGTTGTTTATTACCGGTGGTTACGCCGAGATTTGCAGCCAATGACTGAATTATGAGAGCAAAAAATAGCCCGATAAGTACCACCCACAGCAGCTGCACAACACAAGGCAATAACAGGATATAATTGTAGTTTTATACATGCTCAAAAAAGAGGGGAAAAGGGTACCAAGGAGAAACAACGACAAAAGAATGAAGAGTTTTCAATCAAAACTTGTCCTTCTTTTCTTCTTCTGCATAATCTAACGGTTTGTAATTAATGGTTTGCTTGTATGCTCTACCTCGTATCTGTGGGTAGCTCCAGCTTGTAGATCAGTTTCCACTAGATTATAACAAACAAAGAGTTATATAGATCATAGGAAACACAAAAACACACAGAGAGAGAGAGAGAGAGAGAGAGAGAGAGAGAGAGAGGCACAGTTTCCAGGATCAAGGTAAGCCAGGGACACCAGAAAACCAGGACCTACATAGGGTAGAAACTCCCTCCACACGGGATTCTGTATTTCATTGTTAAGTTTCAGAAGAAGTAATCTTTGGTAGCAGATGAAGCTACTTAGCTAGCCAGGGTCATAATAGATAGAAAGAGTCAGGAAGAGACACCTTTTGACCAGAGAAACCGTCACCAACATTAGGTGCTGGTGCTATACGATTGCTTGCATCTTCAACGACACTCCATGAGGGGGCTGCTTCACCGTCTTGCTCACGCTGCCTTTCCATCTTCTCCATGCCGATTCGATGAACAATGAGCTATGTGCAGGCGCACACGCACAAGAGTGGCGTATTTACATGTTGTCGTCAGGTTCAGATAGAGTAAGGCTTTGTTCATTCAAAGTCCATGCCCAACGTGTGCAGCAGGGACGAGTATTATTGCCCCTTTTATAATTCATTTTACTTCACCTTCGTGCCCATCAGTTTTCAAGTTTTTTTCCCTTGTCTCAACTGCTATTTCCTTTGCCGTTATTTTAACAAAGCGACAAATAGAAGAAATAAAGAAACAAACGTAGTGCTCTGTATTATATATTCTTGATTCTTTGAAGACAATTTTGTTCCATATAGCATAATGTTCAATGTATATTGCTAGATTTAGCACCACCGGCTACGATTTAGAGTTGGGAGAGTAAAATACTGTAATGTTCTGCTCACTAGGAGTTTTGATTTAATTGTCTTTTTAATTCAATCTTCAAGTTTTATTTCTAGTCATTGTCTTTCTTCGGTTAAATTTTCAATTCTATTTTTGCTAAATTTATTTTAATATAACTTCTTGGCGTGTGAGGAATCGTTTTTAGTCCAAACATAACTAATTATTTATATATATATATATATAAGGGGTTTATTATTAAAAATTTATAAAGAGTGTATCATTGATATATAACGATATTTCATTAACAAACATAATAAAACATTCATAATATAAAATATAATAAATATTGAATTGTTTATTTAATTTAATCTTATAATATAAGCTGTATCTACAAAGGTTTTTTTTTTAATTATGATTTGAATTCCTAGACAATGACTTATTGTAATTATTAATTATAAAAAAAGGTAAAATTGAAAATTTATGTTTTTCATAATTTTAAAGATATAAATAATATTTCCTTACAAGCATTATGATAAAAAGACCGGAGGAAGTATGAGATTAACTAGAACTAATGTGACTACAGTTCAACTACAATCACTAAAATTCGGATCAGTATAAGTTTAACATCTGTTTTAGAAAAACATCGGTTATAAGCAACTTGTATCAAATTTATAGGTCAGGAGCCAAACAATGCAACAAACGATATTATTAGACCAAACTTCAACTATATATCTGTAATCTGTCGCTGTCGTAGTTCTGTATTGGGCATTTTATCAAACTATTAAAGCCTTTCTTCAAATAAAAAAAAAAAAAGACAAACCAGACAGAACAAGTCATAAACAATCAAAAAGTAAGAGCTGAGTTTTTTTTAAAAAAAAAAAAACAAGGTAAAGCAACGTGCTGTTTTGACTTTGGATGGTGGAGTTGGTATTAAGTAGACTAAAAAAATCATCTCTCTCTCTCTCTGTATGTATATACATACATATATATATATATATATATATATATTAATACAACGTCATGAAAAACTGTGTGTATTTTTAAATCACATGTAACACCTCATACTCTCTAGTAGCTAGGTCAACTTATTCTTTTTTCCTTTTTGGCAGCGACAGATCATCATCACAGCGCTTTGCCGATGGACTGGCCTGGTGAGGCAATTTTATTTACTTTTTTCAAAAACATTGTTGATGATGCTGACATTGTTTGGTATTGTTAATGATGCTGTAAATATTTATTTGTTGTTAACTTTGTTTTTTGAGAATTGAACTTTAGATACTGGCTTGGTTTGTTTAATTTTAAATAACGATTTATTTATCTAAATTTTAAAAATGATTCGATCTGGACTTTGAATATAATAATAATTTGATTTATGTTATGTGTTCTGACATTTTAAATTATATTTTTCATGGAGGGTGTTTTTATGTCATATTACTTGTAATTAAGAATTTTATGTTATCGTTTGGGAGTTCTTTTTAAGTGCAACTTTTTAAGTTTGAACTTCTCAACGGCCAGAGCGGGACTCTAATTTTCAACCCTATGTAATAACATGTTTTTTATTCATTACTCAGGTTAAAATATAAAACATTTTTTATTAGTTAATATTGCTTTAAAATAAAGGACTTTTTAAAAAAAATCAATAATATTAATTTTTTACAAATGTCCTTATTAATAGTATTGTAAAGAAAAAAAATACAAGAATGAAAGTAAAAATAATTAAATAGTTTCATAAAAAATAATCAAAATAGTTTGATTTTAATTGTGGATAATCTTCAAAAATCATGATAATTTTTTCATTGGATTAACGAGCATTCCGAACTCTAAACTATTATACGAAGTATTCTAAATTTTGAACTCTTAAAATATGCAAAATGGATCATAAGCTTCTAAATTCATTGCAAATTATCCCACCATTAACTTATACTCAATGCCATTACTATTTACTTAGTGGAGCCCAATCAAAATGATAATGTGTCAATTCTTTGTTGATGTGTCATTTATTAATGAACATCACAAACCCCAAATTATTATGCGAGTAAAATCTTGAATCTTAAACTTTGAAATTCAAAGCAAATTACTCCTACCATTTATGTGTAAAATATTGATTATAATGTAAATTAAATTAGCATTAGTGTGGTCTACTACAATAAACACATCATTAGCTACTACAAGCAACCCATAATTTTATGAAATGATATTTTTACCTTTTTTTAGCAATGTTTTCCAAACAATTAATATTTTATACTTTCATATACTTTATAACTTTGATTTAATTTTATTTTGAATAATTTTTATTTATTTAATATTAAAAATTTGAGATTCTATTTGAAAAGAAGTTTAAGTATCAGAGAATTTTAAAGATGAAGATGCGAAAGTCGATGATTTCAAACCCAAATCAATTGGTTAATTACAATTCTCTGATATTTAAACTTTTTCCAAATGAAAACCCAAATTTTCACCAATAAATACAAAAATATTATTTAAAATAAGACTAAAATCAGAATTATAGATTATATGAAAATATGTGATACCAATCATTTGGAAAAACATTACAAAAAAGGAGGCAAAAATGTTCTCACAAAATTTTGAATCATTTGCCGTGGCCAACGATGCATTTGTCATAGCGAACTACATTGAGATTAATTTAATCTACATAACAATCAACGCTTTACACAAAAACGATAGGAGTAATTTCTTTGAATTTTAAAGGTTCAAGATGTTATTTACACAATAGTTTAAAGTCAATGGTACTCATTAACAAATGACACAACAGCATTTTGACTGGGGCTCATTAAGTGAACAATAACAGCATTAAGTATAAGTTAATGATAAAAAGTAATTTATTATGAATTTAATAATTTAAAATTTATGTTATACATTTTAAAAATTTAAAGTTCAATACTTTTTTTGCATAATACTTCAACGTCGGAATACTTATTCACCCTTTTTATTTAATAATACAAACTACTTTTTACATTAATTTGATATTCAAACGTGAATTTGCTTTCACCTCATTTACATTAGCCGCCGTATTTTTCTGGGGACGTCATGTTATCACCAACTTCGCGGACTTTGGGACTTTTTGAATTAGTAGTTTAGTAAATGTCAAGAGGGGGCAATTTGATCATGATATTGTAATATATATATATGTTATACTTTTAAAAATGTCTTTTTAAATATTATAAATTTTAAATTTGGATCTGACAATATCAAGCTTCAATTATTATTATTCTTTTACAAAAAGGTACGGAACTTGATTTCTATAAAGTCAAGTTCCGTACCAATTTTTTTTATAAAAAAGTATAAATTTAAATTCTATCAAACTAAGTTTTATATTTATATTTTAAAAATAAATAAAAAATTAATGTGACATGTTACTATGATTTCACCTCAATATATGATTGCACTCCATAACTTTCCTTTCCTTCTTTCCTTATCATTAAGTTGGTACTTTGAATAAAGCTAGACGAATCAATCCGAACTTGCCCAAAAATATTTAGGGTGGGACTTAAAAAAAGTTAGTTTTGTTATATTCATGCCTATTAGCCCAAACACCTAGATAAAAATTTTTTATTTTAAAATATTTAAAATATGATTAAATATTAATTAATTCTTTAATTTTTAGGTTATTTTATACTAAAATATTATATATTTGAGTCCTATACATCATTTACGCATCAAAAAATATATTTTATATTTTTATAAAATAAAATAATTAATTTTAAAGTAAAACATAATTAAAAATAAATTTAAAAATAAAATTTGGGTATTTGGGCTGCCAGAAGCCTAAAAAAAATTCAGGTTAGGTTTAGTTATTCAGACTTTTTAGGGAGTCAAGCCTGTTTGAGTTCTGACCTATTTGAGCTGGGCTTATTCTAGCCAAGTTCAAATAAACCCACCCTGTCCGAATTCCTAACTCTACCTATCACCCCTCCCCTCTCTTCTTGCATGGATGTATGATGCATTTGAGGTATTTTTTTGGTCAATATGTATTTGGACGTTTATATATAAAACAACTATAATATTAATTTTATAATATAATTATACAAATTATCCATTTCAAAAACTATATTCCCAAGGGTTTTTATTGTAAAATATTTTTAATCAAATTATATTCTTGATGAGTTAATTAATTGTCTTAATAATAATGAGATTTGTAAGTTTTTTTCTAGATTTTGATGAAAATGATAAGACTGATTTATAAATAGAAACAAAATAATACTCTTAATTATGGGTGTAATTAATAATATTTTTTAAAATTATCTTTAATTAATTTTTTTACTTTAAAATTAATTATTTTATTTTATAAAAATATAAAATATATTTTTTGATACTTAAACAATGTACATGGCTTAAATATTTAGTATAAAATAACCTAAAACTTGAAGAATTAATTTATATTTAATTATATTTTATATATTTTAAAACATAAAAAATTTTTTATTCAGGTATTTGGGCTAATAAGTATGAACATAAAAAAATATCTTTTTTCTAAGTTCAATCATAAATTTTTTGAGTAGGTTCAGGTTGATCCGTTGAGTTTGACTCAAATTACTAGCTTTAACGATAAGGAAAGAAAGAAAGAGATATTATAAAGTACAGCCACATATTGAGGTAGAGTTGTAGTCGACATAACCTACCATACACATCATATCAATTTTTTATTTGTTAAAAAAAATATAAGTATAGAACTTGGCTTGGCTTTTTTGAAAAAAACATTGGTACAGAACTTGACTTGATAGAAGCCAAGTTCTATATTTTTCTTTAAAAAAAATTT